TAGCTCATAGAGTACCTATCTAATAAGAAATTTCTCTTCCTGTAGAGTTGTAGTAAGCTGTAAGCTATCTTAATATCCAAAAATTTGATATCTAAAAATTTTTATAATTATCTAGTAATATTATATCTGAGAATTAATTTTATCATCCAGAAATATTTTATCTAGAAATTTCTTTTTTATTCAAGTATTTTCTCTATTATCTAGGAATGTTTCATCTAGGAATTGCTTTGTAATCAATAATATTTCATATATTAATCTTCTTGTTATTATCTAGAAATATTGCATCTGAGAATATTCATCATAAGTTATATTTAAAATATTTATCTAAAATTTAATCTAAAGTTTTTTATTAATATGTACATAGTTAAACTTTCTAAGTATTGATATTCAAGAATACTTAATAGAATCTTCTCAGCTTAATAAATTAAATTAAATTTTTCTATATTTTTAAAGGATAATAATATAAAATACTACTAGTCATATCTTGCTTAGAATTGATAAACTGTAAGTCTTTTTATACAATATCTTTTGCAAAGAGTAGTAACATTCTTACTATTAGTTAACTTTTACTCAAAAGTAGCAAACTGTTTTAATATAAAATAATATTTAATATAATATTCATAATATTCTAGTTCTATTACTACAAGTAAGTTTGATATAAATATTATTCAATATAATAATCTACAATATCATATCAATATGTTCAAGTCACATGTCTAAAGTAAGTTGTCATAAACTCTATAAAGTATTAAAGAGTTTGGTTGTATCTTTGTTTCAAAAACTTATTTTTTTTAATAACTATAAGTATATAGTAACCTAAAAGTAATGAGTTATATAAAGATTATCTATTATGTTTAGGATAGAAAAAATATCTAAAATATTTTTGTCTATGTAGCACAGTAATAAAAAGATACTTTGTAGACCAATTTTATGAATCTTATTCTAGAAAGATACTAATACTATGTAATCTTATCTTGGGGTCTTAAGTAAAGTTATAAAGCAGATCTTTGTAATTTTAACAGATATTGAAATATTAAAATCTATTTATAGGGTAACAATATATAATAATTTTTGTAAATCTCTGAAACTATATTTCTCTTCTTTTCTTTAGGTCTTCTCTATTTAAATTATTTTGAAAATAATATAGTAGCATTTTAGAGTTATTTTGTGAGATAAAGAAGTATTTTCACTCTAAGATATACTATAATAAAAGTTGTAGAGTAGGTTCTTGTGAGTAGAATAGTATGTTTTTTATCTCTGTAAGATCAATATTTGTAGAGATATTAAGGGAACACAATAAGTAATTATAAATTAGTTTTCTCTTCTATTTCTTTTTTCAAAGAGATTTTAGGTAGTTTTGTAGAGAAATTTCAATATATTTCTACTAGAAGGCATCAAATATTATAGATAGTATAATTTAAACCTTATTATATACTATCTATAACAGAGATACAGCTATCTAGAGACTTTAAGAAGTAGTATCAAAGAAAAAGGTATAATTCTTATTATATTAAAGAACTATATTTATCTTTAAAGAGTAGCAGTTCATTTATAATTATGATTAACAATATGTTTATTAAAGATAGTATGTTTAGAGAAAGATACATGAATAGTTATGCTCTATAACTATAAAGAAGAGAAATTAAGCTCTATTCATTATTAAGATAAGGAGAATGGTAAGTAAGAAGTTCATAGAACTTAACTATCGAACTTAAGAAGAATTCTATTTGTATTTATAACTTTTAGCAAGTATCATATAAGTATCAGCAAAGTATCATATAAGTGACTTGTATAAGTATTACTTAAGTATTTGTACAAGCAATAGTTAAGTATCACTATTAATAGTTTAGCACAGTAAGAGACACAGTACTCAGCACAGTTTAGTATAATCTAGTATAGTTTTAGTACAGTATTTTCTTGCTATAGCCTATATTTTCTCTAGATATTATATAATAACTTTAGATTTAACTTATATCATTATATAGCTAATATTCTTGGCTACAAAGTTACTTAAGGATATTTTTTACTATGAATATTTCTTGAAAGACTTTACTTAGAGGTAAATATTTTTTATGAATTTCTATATTATAAAATATCTATACTAAAATAATACAAATATAAGAAATAATACTAAAATACTAATAAATATAACTAATAAAAATATAATATAAATTATACTAAAATCTATTCTATAATAGTATCTAACTTATAGTAAACTCTGTTTGTTTCTAGAGTTGTAACTCTATAAATTATATTATACTAATATTATCTAAATATTAGAAGTATAATATAATATTATAAAAATAAATCTTAATAGAATCTATAAGTAGAAAATCTGTTTGATAGAAATTCTGAGTTAGTAAACTAGTATAGCTTTTAACAGTTATATAGCTAATACCTGATCTAAAAAAGAAACTATTATTCTAAAAATATAGATCAACTTAGATATAAATAAGTCTATTCTATAAGATAAATTAGTAATAAGCTCCTTTAAAAATATATTGCAATACTAGGTTTAGGTTAGGTTTAGGCAAAGCTAAATATCATATAGATATGATATATTATATTCTATAATATTTAGTTTAACTTAAACCTAATCTAAACCTAACTTAAACTTAATATAAACTTAATCTAAACTAAACTTAAACTTAACTTAACTTAAATCTAAATTTAATCTAAATTTAAACCTAATCTAAATCTAATTTAAATCTAATTTAAACCTAACTTAAACCTAATCTAAACCTAATTTAAATCTATTATTTAAGTTTATATTTAGGTTTATATTATTAATATAAATCTAAATAAAAACCTAAATAATAGGTTTAAATTAGGTTTAAATTAGATTTAAATTAAGTTTAAATTAGATTTAAATTAGATTTAGATTAGGTTTAAATTTAGATTAAATTTAAATTTAAATTAAGTTAAGTTTAAATTTAGTTTAGATTAAGTTTATGTTAAGTTTAAGTTAGGTTTAGATTAGGTTTAAGTTAAACTAAATATTATAGAATATAATATATCACATCTATGTGATGTTTAGCTTTGTCTAAACCTAACCTAAACCTAGTATTGCAATATATTTTTGAAAGGGTTTACTAACTTGACTTAGTAGCTAACTTGATTAGAAGAATTTACATCATAAAATATCTGAAGAGATTAGCAAATATAAAATCAGTAAAGAGCTACAATAAGAACTAGAGTTATACAAATATCATAAGGGTCTAAGTTAAGTGAATTTGTAAAATAAATATAAACTATTCTAGTAGATATATTTTGAAGTTAACTAGAGCTTTGCATACTTATAATATGTTGAGTAATATATATCCTAAAAAGATCTAAGCTAAAGTTAGTAAATAGATATGTAATGAGCTAGCTAGCTTAAGTGATTAGGTATTATAGTAATATTAGTTTATAATAGTATGAGTTAGTTAAATAGAATATTTAAATAAGTAACTCATAAGCAAGTTATAGGTATAGTAGCATAGTATAGAACTAATTAAGTAGTCTATTGCCTATATAGTAGACTACTTAAATTAGATAATAACTAAAGTTATATATGTAACTTGTTATATATTCTTTATATAATTACAAACTATAAAAGATTATCTTTATATAGGTCTGATGATCTTAGTGTAGTAGTTAGGTTGCCAGACTACCATGCAAGAGGTCTGGGTTCAAATCCTACTGTCAATGAATTTAAATAATTACACAGATCTTTGTATCCAACTTATATTAAACTCTGTCTGTTTCTGAGTGTTACAACCTTGTAAATCATGTTGTACTAATATCAATCGGTTATTAGAAGTATGACGCAATACTCAAGTTACATTACATGAATAAATCTTGATAGGATCTACAGGTGGAGACCTGCATAGTAGAAATTCTGAGTTTGATGAAGTAGTACAGATTTTGATAGTTAAGCTGGTTAATGTCTGATCCAGTGAAAAACCTAAGTATGAAGAATATGAGATCGATGCGTGCGAGTAAGTCCACTATGTAATGCAGCCTGGTACCTTGCATTAGCAGCAACACCAACTTGGCTTGGCAGCTAACTAGATTAGGAGGATCTACCTTGTGAAACATCTAGCTAGAACTTGGAAGACTATATCTGGTAGATAGCTACAACAGGAACTAGGTTTGTATGAACATCAACAAAGGTCTAATCTAGATGAATCTGTGAAATGGGACATGACTACTCTGGTAGGAATTACTTCTGAGATTAACTAGAGCTCTGTAGCTCACAATACATTAGGTATATGCATTCTAAGAAGATCTAAGCTGTGTAGAGAATGAATCTATAGGTGAACTAGCTGGCTTAAGCAGTTGGTTATAGTGGTGACATTAGTTTGGAATAGAGGGAAGGATTAATGATCAGAGTATTTAAATAGATAACTCACAAGTAGAGTTGGCATGAATAGAATTTGGACAATAGAAATCTGTTCGAAAAATAGTGTCCGAACTGTCTATTCAAAGTAATAAATATTGGACTAAACATATGAATAGTTATTAACTAATTAAATCATATATTAGATAGACTAAAACGTAATTTATTAAACTCAAAATTTATGTAATATATACCAGATACGATTTATTAAGCAAAAGAAAGTAGAGACCAACTAGGATTTTTTTTTTCCTGTTACAGTATTAGCACTCAAATAAAAACTTTTCTTGTGTAAAAATTATAAAGAATACGGAACTTGCTGTAAAATTTAAACTTAATAAAGCTTCAGATGCAAAGTTTTTTTTTTACTTCATTTTATATATTTAAAAACCAAAACTTATTTAGATTTACTTTATTTTTTTTCTCCCTATATAACCATGTTTTTCTTTATATTATCGCTATTCAAAAAGCTTATTATTCTAAATAGATATACATACATTCATATATATATACTTGTTAAACAAATTTACTATATATTACTATCACTAACGTTTCTATATAATTCAAATATACATTATTCAAATAGAAAAGGTAAATTAGATAAAAACAAATCGTGTAATTTCTATTTTGCAGCTTGATTTTCAGCAAGATGCATTTCTGAATCAAGAAAATCAATATCAGCAATATCAAGATCATTTTGTTCTTCTTCAAACTCTTCATCAATTAATAATTCTTCCCACTTATTAATAGTGATACTTCAATCAATTTCTAAAGTAATTTCTTTATTTATATCATCTGTATTAGTCTCTTCAAATTCTAGATCTTGATTAGATAGCGAAGAACTAGCAGAAACTAGAGCAGCAGAGGAAGATAAAGCAGA